ATGAATGTCTCTCTAGATTTGTTTTTCAGAACCCTCAGAATCTTTGAAGTAGAACAGTCCCTGCCTGTTTCGCATGATGGTGTAAGACCCAAGAATAAACTTAAGAAAGTTCTGCTCACTTGCCAACAGTTGAACTTTGCAGCTGGGTTTTGCCTGTTGAGGTCCCAGCTTTTACAAAAGAGCACAGATACGTTGTAAGGAAATGGCAGCAACTTCTAAGCCAGCGAATTTCAACCAGGGAGCCTGTGTACCCTGGGGTGCCTTGAGACTTTTTTCAGAGGTGTCATGAGATGCCAAGCAATGTTAACCTCTGTGGTATGGAAACCTTGTTCAGAAGATAAACCCAGAGATTTCAAGCAGGAATTTATAGTGTTAAAAACTTTCTCACCTGTTGTGGTCTTGCTGAATTCTTTGCCACAGAACTTTTCTGTAGTCAAAAATTGAGTGAAATATAAGAGCTAACATTTTCTGAGGAGTGCCTTGAGTAGAAAAAGGTTGAGAACCACCAAATGAAGCAGTTCTCCTGTCCTTATGGTTTTTTTCTTCTGCACTTGTGATAATATCTGAGAGGTGTGTTTGACAGCTCTCTCTGTCTCTTACTGCTTGAACCTGTCATAATGTCTAATACTGTTTATGACATCAGTTTGTTGCTATGGTGATGATTGTGACATCACAAATTCAACATCATAACTTCAGTGTGGTGTTCAGTAGGAGGGGGAGAGAGCTGAGGAGAACCAAGCTTTTGTTTTAAAACGCACGTACTTCCACTATGAGCAAGTGTGTCAAGAAATACCATGGAAAAATAACTGTAAGGTAATTACCAAGTTGATATGTTTGAAAGTTTCCTTCAAGTTCATAAGTGTTCATAAGTGTTAATTGAGAGTTGTGCAATTAGCTAAGCTACTGTGTAATTTATCAATTGAGGTAAGATCTATACCATCTGAAATGATGTCGCAACACAACCCAGTGGTGATGTCAAATGCATATTGTTTGGTTTGAAATGGCATTAGTCCTGTTTTCAAGTATTAGTCCTGTTTTCAAGTATTAAATCTTCATATTTTGAATTGCGATAAGGGAAGATAGAAACTATAATTATTTTTTTGTCTAGAGGGGGGAATGTTTATGTTCAGCAGAAGAGATCAATAGAATTTTTGTGCAGTACCTGTCTGAACACTTCAGATATTTTGCTAGCTTAACTTCTGTATTTCTCCCCTATCTCTCTCTGATGCCTAATTTTGAGAATAAATTAAAAATGAAGTCAGAAAAAAAAATCCACAAGTGTAATCCAGAATCACTTCTTTAAATAAATTTGTCCATCTGTAATTTTTGATTGAGGGACCCATAATATTTTCCAGTATTTAACCTAAAGGAACTCCGAAAAGATTGATTTTCTAACAATTTTCTCCTAGATAACCCTTCAAAGTCATCTGACTCTATACTGTATTGAATCTACTTATTATTCAGAAGCAGCTATTTAGTTGGTCCTATAAAAGAAGCAAATAATAAAGAATTGTTAGGTGTTTCTACCTTGCCCATAAGGGCTTCTCAAAATACTCTCTTTGCTTTACACCACTAGGTTTCTTTAGCCCCAGCACCCCTCCTTGTTTCCTTCCCCAGTGTATAGTAAAGGCTTGATGTGGCTCTCCCATCAGAAATAGCAGACCTAGTATCTAGAAAGAATGGGTTGCCAGAAAATTATTCTTTCTTTTTCTGTACCATATACTGGAGGTATTGACTATAGTACTTCCTTTCCTGGCCAAGGGACTGATCTTGAGTTCCAATTTATAGGCAGTGCATGGTGATATACTATGATTCTATGCGACTCTTGGGTTAATTTTTTTGTCGGATACTTTCGAAAAATGAAATTGTGAACAAATGAGGGGGAATTAATAATATTCAAATAAGTATGTTCTTCAGTTCTGATTTCAGTTCCTTGCACTGCATTCTGTATATATTTATTTTACTTATTTTTTTAGACAAATGACCATGGAAATGGTTGAATCACAACAAGATGGAAGTGCTGCAGAGTCTGCAGCAGAGAGTGATGCTGTTCGCATGCAAAACCCACCAGGCCAAAGTCAGATTCCTCCCATAGCTCAGGTAACCTGAAATAGAAGGATATGAGAGGCAAACAAAAACAAAGAACATTTAGAATTGTTACCTGTATTGAGAGAAATATGACACTTAACTGCTGATCATTATATTCCCCATGTCATACATGCATCTCATTTTCTTATAGGAGGGATTTAATTGAATATCAAAACACATCTTCTGTATTAAGGATGGGACAGAATAAGGGCCACAGATAATGTTGTACATTATTTTAAGTTCTTCACAAAAATAGCTCTTTGGGAATTTGGGGCTTCTCAGAGTGACGCAACAGTGGAAACTTAATAGGCATCATTCTACCCATGTTTTTGGAATAGATTTGCACGCATTC